TGCCGACGCAGACGCCGCGCTGCCGCCGCAGCGGAGGCAGAAAGCGTGGCCGGGCCCGCGCGCCAGGGCGTGGGGCCACCACGAGCGCCCTGCGAAGAACTCCGTGAGCATGCCCCCCTGCTGACGGGCGCATCAGCACCACTTCGGCGTGGGCCAGCCAGCACCAGCACCGCTCGGCCAGCTAGGCCGTCGGCCGCCGGGGCAGACGCCGCGCGCGCCCGGGCGCCGCGGCGGACTGCGCGCCAATTGCGCCAGCGGCGGCGCGCAGCTGGCGGCGCCGAGGCGAGGGCAGACTGTTGCGCGGCAGCCGCGCTGCGCGGCCCCCAGCAGCTCCAACTCCCGATGCTGGTCGCGCACCACTTCTGGTGGCGGCGCCCTGCTGGCCGCGGCGGCGCCAGCGTTGCCATCGGCGGCCGCGTTGCCAAGGCGGTCCCGCTCGCTCAGCCCCAGGCGGCGCGCCTCCGCTGGCTTCTTGTGCGCTGGCACCCGGCGGGCCCGGAGGCGCCCGCTGCGCACGGCGTCCACGAGTGGGAGCCATATGTCAGCGTGCTCCCAATCACGCGGGTCGCCACCGGCTGCGAGCTGGGTGCACGCACGCACCACGCACTGGCTGTCCGAAGCGAGGTCGGTCGGACCGCCGTATACCGTATACGCGAGCCGCCGCCACTGCGGCCGTCTCCTCTGCCCGCTGCGCCGTCTGCTGCCCGTCGACTGGGCCGGCCAGGCTGGGCGCTGCGAAGCCCTCGACCCAGAGGCCCCAGGCCGCTCGCGTCAGCAGCGGGTCCGCGGGGTGAAGGCAAGCCCCGTCGCTCCAAACTGTGCGGCGGGGCGTCCCCGGGAGCACCTCCGTTTGAGGCGGCAGCTGCGGGTCTGCGCACCCAGCGGCTTCTGCGAGGGCCTCGAGCGGCGGCAGCGCCAGGACCCCCGTTTGCGCGACCCCCTGCGGCCTGCGGCAGCAGTCCCCGCCAAGCCCAGGCGTCTCCTGGCATTGCGTCCGTCCGCGGCGCAGCAGCGAGCGCAGCGCGGCGCGGGCTTCCCTCGCTGGGCATAGCCAAAAGCGGTGCTCGTGGTCCTCGGTGGCGGCCAGCCCACAATAATGCGGGCAGTTGCCCGCGCCGCCCTGCCATTGCGCAGCGATGGCCGGCGTCGCGACGCCGTCGCACAGGACGCCGCGCAGGGCCCCAGCGGCCTTGGGCGTGAGCTCGTCGGCGTCAAGCAGGCGGCGGGTGGCCCGCCTGTCTGGCCCGCTGGCCAAGTGGGCGAAGCAAGGCCGACGCGACGCGACCTTGCGACATTCGGCCCGGCTCCACGCTGCCAGCAGCGCGCGTTCTGTGGACCGCCTCAGGCGCTCCGCCGGGCACCAGCCGTGCGGCGCCGCAGGCACGCCGACCCAGCGCTCCATGTCGTCACCCAGCCCGAGCTCTCGCAAGCTGCGCAGGGCGGCTGCCACAGGGCCGACTACTCGAGTATTTCCAGCGTGAACGGCGGCAGCAGTGCGGCTCCACGAGGCGATCGAGGTCGAGCTGGCCAGCACGGAGCGCCTGCGCAGCCTGCAGAACTGGCGCGGCGACCGTATCGCCTTGGGGTCCAGGCGCCAAGTGGGGCTGAGGACGCCGAACATAATCTCAGCTGCGGCTCGGGGCCCGTGGCCGGTGGCCGCCTTGGCGGCGCGGCGGAGCTGCTCGAGCTCCTGGGCGGCGGGGCGGCCGCAAGATGAGCCGTAGGTACCCGCAGCCGTGCGCGACATGATCAGCGCGTCAGCCAGGCGTAGTTTGCCCGATGTTGCCAGCGGCTGGTTCTGGAAGACCATTTGTCACGACGTCCTAGCTGACCCAGCCGCTGGAGATACCCAGTGGGGCATCTCTGGGTCCAAGCTCATCCTGTTCGAGACGATGCAGCCCAACTGTTTGTCGGTATTCACAGCCCTAGGGGAGGCCCCCTGAGGATAGGCGCGCGGCTCCGGGGCCTCGATAACCCCCGCGCCGTCCAGCCAGAACTGCTTGCGAGCCGCGCCCTTGCCCTGGAACGTGAGCATGGTGGCCATTCTGGTGGGTCACAGACTGAGTCGTAGCCCGGCCGAGGTAGGCGCATCGACGACGATGTGGCAGATCGTTTTCACGTTGGCAAGTAGTAGCTGGGCCGGCGCAGTCGTGAAGAACATACAGTGGTCAAGCTAGTCGGCCCCATCTGCTGACGCCGCCGTGCCATTCTCGATGCTGGTATCATGGGTTCTTCTCAGAGGGGCGGGGAGCTCCCGGGAAAGGCGGGCCCGGTCGAGACCCTGATGGGTCTGAATGAGACGCTTATAGATGCGAGCGCGTCAACCATGGAGGCAAGGGTGCTCCCTGGCCTGGGCCCCATAGCGGTGACAGATAGTTCCCCTTCCCCAATAGCCCAAGTAGAAGAGAGCCTCTCTCGGCCAGGATGGCGCAGAGGTGTTGGGGGGCGTCCATTTCAGACAGGATGGCGCGGGAATCCCAGGGCCCTGGCCAGGTCCTGCATGGCCTCGGGGGGGGGGGGCGTGGCGCGAGCATGCGTGCCCACTTGTGGTCCAAACGCGGTGTCCCTGCTTGACCTGCATTTCTGATGTGAACCTTCACATTTGGAAACCTCGCACAGCATAGAACTCTTCCACTGCGGCGGCCCCCGAAACCCCAAAGAGTACTTGAGGGGGGGGATGGCAGGACAGCCGGGCGCGCGCCCGCGCGCAGTTCCCGCGGGCCACCGAGATTCCGTCGAGGCCATTGGTAACAAAGCAGACGGCCTAAGGAGTTGTTGCTCGAACTCAACCCTGGCCGGAATGAACTGAATGGCTTGGCGGCCCGGTCCGTCCTGGATCTGGTCGACGGGGTGGTCGGCTTCGCGAGTCAGCTCGGATGTCTCTGGAGCCCCCACTTGGAGTCCTACGTCTTGCTCGGAGGAGTGCTCAGGCCACCGACGCCTTACCTCGGTGGCAGTCTGAGTGGGGGCGCCATATTTTAGAAAGACTGCAGCTCGCTTTATTTTGGGAGGCCCGTTGTCTTGCGATGGGCGCGCAGGCCGCGAGGTGTCCTGGTGGACCGGCGAAAGCGCGCATTCAGGCAGTTCCAGAACTACTGCCGTATGGTAAGTGGGCAAACACAGAAAGTTGCATGCACATTTCAAGTTGAGTTGTGACCAAACTTTTACGCCCAAAGCGGACAGAAGCAAATTGGACGCATTCCATTGCAAATGCTCGCGAAAAACATGGTCCGCCCTCGCGCATATGATTCGCACATGGCTATCGCGACTTCCTTTGGGAAGGGCAAAATTATCCAGGCAAAGCAACCTAACAGCGATGTGTAGAAGCATATCTGGAAGCATTCCCCTTAAGATTCAGGTTAGAATTCAGTTGTCGAAGTCTGCTGTTCTCGCAGTCGCAGCCTCAGCCTGCCTCGGCTTGCCTCGGCCTCAGCCTCAGCCTGCCTCGGCCTCTGCCTCAGCCTCAGCCTGCCTTAGCTTCAGCCTCAGCCTGCCTCAGCCTCAGCCTGCATCAGCCTCAGCCTGCCTCAGCCGCAGCTTGCCTCAGCCTCAGCCACAGCCTCAGCCTCAGCCTCAGCCTGCCTCAGCTTCAGCCTCAGCCTCAGCCTGCCTCGGCTTGCCTCGGCCTCAGCCTCAGCCTGCCTCGGCCTCAGCCTCAGCCTCAGCCGGCCTCAGCCTCAGCCTGCATCAGCCTCAGCCTCAGCCTGCCTCAGCCTGCCTCAGCCGCAGCTTGCCTCAGCCTCAGTCACAGCCTCAGCCTCAGCCTCAGCCTGCCTCAGCTTCAGCCTCAGCCTCAGCCTGCCTCGGCCTCAACCTCAGCCTCAGCCTGCCTCAGCCTCAGCGTCAGCCTCTCAGCCTCAGCCTACATCAGCCTCAGCCTCAGCCTGCCTCAGCCTCAGCCTAAGCCTGCCTCAGCCTCAGCCTGCATCAGCCTCAGCCTCAGCCTGCCTCAGCCGCAGCTTGCCTCAGCCTCAGCCACCGCCTCAGCCTCAGCCTCAGCCTGCCTCAGCTTCAGCCTCAGCCTCAGCCTGCCTCGGCCTCAGCCTCAGCCTCAGCCTCAGCCTCAGCCTGCCTCAGCCTCAGCGTCAGCCTCTCAGCCTCAGCCTACATCAGCCTCAGCCTCAGTCACAGCCTCAGCCTCAGCCTCAGCCTCAGCCGCAGCTTGCCTCAGCCACAGCCTCAGCCTCAGCCTCAGCCTGCCTCAGCTTCAGCCTCAGCCTCAGCCTGCCTCGGCTTGCCTCGGCCTCAGCCTCACCCAGCCTCGTCTCAGCTCATCCTCAGGCAGACCACACGTTCGCACGGCAAACTCCACAGGAGCACGGCCGACCCCAAAGGAGCACGGCAGACCACAGGAGCACGGCAGACCGTCTTCGAGGCCTCTTGGGCCGTCTTGGGGCCCTCTTGGAGCCATCTTAGCCGTCTTGGAGGCCATCTTGGCCGTCTTGGAAGACATCTTGGGCGTCTTGGAGGCCTCTTGCGCCGTGTTAGGGACATAAACGCGCCTTTTTGTTGTACCCCGAACGCCGCTGGCGTTTCCCCAACAGGAGCCTGGCAGGATCTCACAGGCGCGCGGCAGACCCAAATGAGCACGGCCGACCACAGGAGCACGGCAGACCCCAAATGAGTACGGCAGACCCAAAAGAGCTCCGTAGACGCCTCAGGAGCACGGCTGACCACACAGGAGCACGGCAGCCTGGGCCGGTTCCGGCGCCGGCCGGCGCCGGAAAATTGAATTCCGAGGCGGTGCCGAAAAAAGGCCACTCCAGACATATTTTTCTTTCGAAAAATTGATTTTCTGCTCCCGGCGCCCGGGAACCCCTTCCGGGCCGCTTCTGGCACCCGGGCCGGCGCTCGAGCCAAACGCCCGGGCCAGCACCCGGGCCAGCGCCCGGGCCGGTTCCGGCGCCGGCCGGCGCCGGAAAATTGAATTCCGAGGCGGTGCCGAAAAAAGGCCACTCCAAGACATATTTTTTCTTTCGAAAATATTGATTTTCTGCCTCCCGGCGCCCGGGAACCCCTTCCGGGCCGCTTCCGGCACCCGGGCCGGCGCTCGAGCCGAACGCCTGGGCCAGCACCCGGGCCAGCGCCCGGGCCGGTTCCGGCGCCGGACGGCGCCGGAAAATTGAATTCCGAGGCGGTGCGGAAAAAAGGCCACTCCAAGACATATTTTTCTTTCGAAAATATTGATTTTCTGCTCCCGGCGCCCTGGGACCCCTTCCGGGCCGATTCCGGCACCCAGGCCGGCGCTCGAACCGAACGCCCGGGCCGGCACCTGGGCTGGCGGCCGAGCCGGATCCAGCGCTGGCGTCGGCTCTGGCCGTCGCCGGAAAAATTGAATTCCGAGGCCGCGCTAACAAAACTCATCCAAACAGATTTTTCGAAAGTGCATCATTTCTGCTCCCGGCGCTCGGAGGCTTCTGCGTCTTGGAGCAGACATTAAAGGAGGTAAAAGCAAGCACACGAACGCTATGGACGCGCGATGCGCTGCCACAAGCCAGCTTCCCGCAAGATCGGTCCAGAGTGGGAGGGGACGGAGCTGGGCGGGTGAGGACCACCAGAGCACTGCTCCAGCCTTCCCTCAGCCCTACCACACAGGAGCACGGCAGACCACACAGGAGCGCGGCAAACCACAAAGGAGCAAGGCAGACCCCAAATCACGGCAGTCCACACCGCACGGCAGACGCACAGAGCTGAGCTTGTACAGGAGCACGCCAGACCACACAGGAGCACGGCAGACCACACGTTCGCACGGCAAATCCACAGGAGCACGGCAGACACCGGAGACGGCAGACCACAGGAGCACGGCAGACCGTCTTCGCTCTTGGGCCGTCTTGGGGCCCTCTTGGGCCATCTTAGCCGTCTTGGAGGCCATCTTGGCCGTCTTGGAAGACATCTTGGGCGTCTTGGAGGCCTCTTGCGCCGTGTTAGGGCCCTCTTGGGACCGTCTTGGGGACATCTGGCCTCTTGGGCATCCGATATTGGGGGCAACGCGGCAGGCCATCATTTAGTCTGTTCTGTTGCGTTTATGGGTTTCTCTGACGTTCTCGCCAATACGGTCTCTGACGCACGTGGTGGATAAAAAACGGCGCTTCCCGTTCTTGTCCGGCCAGGTTCCCCAAAATGGCCATTTCGCTCGAGACATCCTCGAAAAATCGAGGTGTTGGAGGCTATCGTTTAAGACGTCTTATGTTAAAAATGACGGTTTCGCTCGAGACATCCTCAAAAAATCGGGATGTTGAAAAATATCAAAAATTTTTGTTATGCATGAAAAATGAGCGTTTCGCTCGAGACATCCTCGAAAAAATGAGATGCCGACAGAGGTGTTTTACAACCTCTTATGTTAAAAATGACGTTTTCGCTCGGGACGTCCTCAGAAAATGAGCAGGTGGTCTGCCGTGCTACGTGTGGAGCACGGCAGACCACGGCCATTTCGCTCGAGACATCCTCAAAAAATCGCCTGCCGTGCTCCTGTGTGGTCTGCCTTGCTCCTGTGGTCTGCAACACAGCCGCGCGTAGGAACCGAGATCGCACACCAAGATGCCAGGCACCAAGAGCGCCCTCAAGACGACGGAAAGGATGACTACGAGCACGGCAGCTGCCCTACCTCAAGCGGCCGAACCGGCACCCCCATAGGAGCACGGCACCTGTGGTCTGCCGTGCTCCCCCAGGAGCACGGCAGACCGCGCGTAGGCCGAGAGGAGCACGGCAGACCAAGACGAGGAGCACGGCAGACCAGGCTTAGGAACCGAGAGGAGCACGGCAGACCAAGACGAGGAGCACGGCAGACCAGGCACCAAGAGCGCCCTCAAGACGACGGAAAGGATGACCAAGACGAGGAGCACGGCAGACCAAGACGAGGAGCACGGCAGACTATGCCCTAAGAGTGCCCTCAAGACGGCCGAACAACGGCAGACCCCATAGGAGCACGGCACCT